ATTTACCTAATAAAAATAGTTTAGATCACAACAGTATTCCCACAATAAAAAATAATGAAAAAAGTAGTTGTTACATTATTAAAGCACTTGTATTTTATGAACTATATACTTATACTATGTTTACAGAGCCAAGAAAATGGGTTTCGATGTGGAGAAGGTAGGGGGGGGGGGGAAGGGGAAAGCACAATTGTCAATTTCTGAAAATAATTCCTCTACCATAAATTTCCCTAATTCCGAACAAAATCGCTCTTAAAGTTGAATAACTTCGCTTTGTTTTGGAGTTTTGAATTAATTTTTTTGATTAAACAAACTGGAACTTAAACTGAATTGAACCATATCAGGTAACAAGTATATGGATAATAAAAGTGTTGCATTTTTTAAATTTGTCATAGTGAAGTTTTCGTTCGGAATAAGAGACACGTGTTCTTAATTCCGAACGTACATATCAAATAAAAATAGTATTTAAATTAAAATAGTAAATAATTTAAAATAAAATCATAGACCTCTGGAGCAAAATCCAAACATTTGTTTATACTTATGTCAAATAAAGATGTTTTGCAACAATTGCGATGATTGGAGCCTGGGAACAAAAAAGCCCCGAAATATTAGCCCCCCACCCCCTGCCCCAAACGTGAGAGCAATAAGTTGATATAATTTTTTTTGTACTATTTTCAACTGTACTTATATTCATCAAAAAATATTAAGTTTCTTAGTATAATTTCTCAGCGTTCAAAAATTATGACCATATAAAATTTGCAACCCTCTCAAGTTGAGGAGGATTTAAACTTTATATGGTCATATATTTCAAGCGCTAAAAAATTTTACTATAAAATTTAAAATTTCTGGATGAATATAAGTTTAATTAAATATAGTACAAAAAAAAATTCATCAACTTATTACTCTCACGTTTGGGGCAGGGAGGGCTAAAATTTCAGGACTTTTTTGTTCCCAGGCTCCAATCATCGCAATATTTTGCAAAGCATCCTTATTTGACATAAGTATAAACATATATTTGTTTAGAGTTTGCTCCATGACTGGAAGTTAGATATCTCAAAGACCAAAAAAATGCCTGTTTGTTGCTATTGAGTTGCACTAAGTGTTTATGGAAAACAAAGTTCTATACTAGGAAAAAAAGTTTCAAGTAAAACTTCTGAAAAGTCTTTCGATATAAACTTACGTTCAGTAGTTGAAATGCATGAAATTGGATAAGAAAATAGTGCATTAGAAAAATTATGTGGTTTTTTAAACTTAATACTTCCAATTCCAAAAACCACATTTAGTTTTTTATGTGGCGCAAACTGCTTTGTTGGCGCAGAATCAGCTGTTAATAATTTCAATAATGGATTAGCTGGTATGTTAAATGTTTATTTACAGCTTGGTATTATTCCTGGCAAAACCTGTATTACATTTTGCAATCAAAGAGATAATCAAAAAAATGTAAAATATTGCAAAAAATTTGTCGGATAAGGTAAAGCAATGTCGGAAACAAATTATGACAAAACGCAAGGGTTATAGTGATGAAGATAAAGAAAATGAAGGAATAGCTTAAGACCCCGGAAGTTTTTTGTCGTTTTACTATATTTCAATTGATACAACTATTTGTTATACATCTTTAAATTTGGTTATCGTAATTTTTACTTTTATAAAAATACTTTTTTAGTTCGAAATTTTTATACTTTTCTTAACAAGGATACTAATCTTTTTATGGTACTTAAAAAATTAATCAAAACTCATAATAAAGTAAAAAGATAACAAACAAAACATTGGTTGTAGTAAAAAGAAGAAAAAAAACGATTGCTGTTATTTTTTAAACAAGTTCGCTTTCAACAAGCCTCTCAAACAGCCACTAATTAGGTTAACAGAAAACAAAGAAGTAACGAAGAGTAAACGAGTAAAACAATGAGTAAATTAAGTAAAAAAGGGGTTGACAGAAAACTTACAAAACTGAGTCAGGAAAATATGAAGTTGGGAGAAAATCCTAAATTATTTAATTAAAGAAATTCCGATGTAAAGGAAGAAAACTAGATAAATAAAAAATTTTCCCTCAATAGTTTTTTAATAAATTTTTCAATAAATTTTTCAATAAATTTTTCAATAAATTTTTCAATAAATTTTTCAATAAGTTTTTCAATAAATTTTTCAATAAATTTTTCAATAAATTTTTTAATAAATTTTTTCTACTATTTGTGAAATTCATTAAAATTTTACATCTTAATGTTAACATTAATGATAACTGAAACATTGAGTTGTAAATTTTCATTAAGTTGTAAATGTTAATGATTGTAAACGGAAAGGAGAGTGATTAACAACACGAGCTAACTTATTTTAAATACGTTGAAGTTTGTTTAGATTTTTTTTGAGAAGTTTTAGATAGAATACTGTTGCAGTAATCAAGTCGAGAGTTTAAAATTTCACAGGCAAATATTTTTGTAGCACTTTTGGTAAGAAATGGACGAAAATAATGAAGTGCGCAAATATGATAGTTGCGGGATTTTACAATATTCTTTATGTGTTGGTCCATAGAGAGTGTTGAATCTAAGATAATACCAAGAATATTTACTAAATTTGATGCAGCAAGAGTTGCACCTGAAAATAAAATTTGGGTTTCGTCTTTAAATTTAAATGTTTGTTTACTTGTTCCAAATAATACAGCTTCTGTTTTTTTTAGATTAACTAGTAGTCTATTTTTAAGATAGCATGTGGTGACTGCATTTACACATTGAGCTATATTGTTTATGTTGTTTATACCTGGTCTGATGGAAGTATACAGTTGAGTATCATCAGCTTATTGATGGTGATTATATCCAAGTTTAGCTATAATCCAATTTATGGGAGACACAAACATGGAAAATAGAAAAGGTCCAATAACACTAACTTTTTGTACTCCTATTAAAATATCTGAGAGTGATAATTTTGTTGTTCCAATAGAAACAAAAGTTTTTTAATTATGAAGGTATGAAGACAACCATTCCATTGCAGTTCCTGTGGTAGCAAATTCGTTTTTTTGCACGCTCTGTTAGTAGTTTGAAATCAATAGAATCAAAGGCTGCTGATATGTCTAGAGAGAGTTGGATAGTAGTTGATTCATTATCAATGTTTGATAGGATGTCATTGCATATCTTTAGAAATACTGTTTCAGTTAAATGATTGAGTCGGAAACCAGATTGTGAAGAGTTGAAGTTTACAGAAGAAGTTACATGCGGAAGATATCTAGATGAAGAAAATTTTTTAAGAAATTTGGAAACAGTGTTCAGAATTGCTATAGAGTAGGATCAAAATTGGTTATATCTGGGCTTTTGAGAGTTGGTGTTATTTGGGCAATCCTGTATGAAGCTGGGAAAATTCCAAATTTAATATTAGGTTAGCTAGATGAGCAATAATAGGACTAAAAACTTCAGGACAAGATTTTAGGATGTCAGTAGAAATAAAATTGAGTGATGATGACTTAAGTTTAAGATTTTTGATTATTTTAAAAACATCTTCAGGTGTAACTGTATCAAGTGTTGACATTAAAGTTGCTGCAGGAAATGATAACTTTGAAATTCAGTATGATTTTTGTAGGGAAGTTTTCCTTTCTTATATTGTATTCTTTACATTTTCAGGTTTTTTAATGAAATGTTGAGTTTGTGTGCAGTAAGTTTTTAGCAATACTCCATATTTCTTTTTGGTTACCTTGAGCTCAATTTAGCTTTTGTTCAAAGTAAGTACCCCTAGACTTAATAATTGGTGCAGATACCTCACAACATGCATTTCAGTAGAGTTTTTTGTTTACCAATAAGCCACTTTTTTTGTATGCTTTTACTTTTCTAGGCATCTGCTAATAGCCATTTTTCATTGTGATAACTAAGTCTATTTGGATATTTTTGGATTGGTGGTAATCTATCAAGTTGTTACGTTAATTTTTATCTGTTCTGCATAATTGTCGAAACCAGGGCCTTGAAGGGGGTGGGGGTGTGTTTCTTTGCCATTGAATAAACATTGAATTGTATATAACTGTATATATTCGTATATAACGTATATTTGTATATACGTTTATGCACCTGTTATATATATAAATTATATATATATATATATATATATATATATATATATATATATATATATATATATATATATATATATATATATATATATATATATATATATATATATATATATGTAATATATATATGTATATATAATATGTATATATATATATATATATATATATATATATATATATATATATATATATATATATATATATATATATATATATATATATATATGTATATATATATATATATTTATATATATATATATATGTAATATATATATATATATATATATATATATATATATATATATATATATATATATATATATATATATATATATATATATATATATATATATATGTTATATATAAATATATATTATATATACATAAATACATATATATAAGAGGTGCATATATGTATATATACAAATATAAACAGTTATATACAAAAATAATGTATATACAAATATACGTTAACCAAATCATTTAACACATGATAATTAGAGTACAGAAAAAATAAAATCATTTTTAAAACATATTTTAGCAAATTTATTCTCCCAGGCATGTTTGACCAATAATAATTAAACGCCAATTACCTAAATTGCCTAAAAAATCCGGTAAACATGCCAAAAAGCAATATATACGTGTTGTATCAAGTTTTCTTTCTCTTTAATTTCAATCATACTAAAAACCTGAAGGTGTCTCATAACCTATGTAAAAAACATAATTATTTTGTTTTCTTTAAATAAATATTACCATTTCAAAATCAGCCAAAGCAGAAAATCATTTACGAAATATTTCTGAGAAGCATAATATGAGCCAAGTTTGGTATATGCAAGCCTAATTATGTTTGAATTTTTTTTCTTTACGGAACTTTCACAAGTCAGGTAGTATTGGAGTAGGCTATATTATATAGTATACTACTTTATCAATGGTACAATTTATTTATTTGTTGTTATAGTTTCTCTCAATCCTGTAACTTCGAAATACAAAACTTAACAGACAAGACCATTGAGGGAAAAAACCAGCTGAGTATGGTAACTCCAATGAAGGTAATAGCTACGAATTCCGTACCTCTTGCAAGTAAACGCTCTGTCATTACACCACTACAATACATATATCTTACACATTTATTATTACTTGTTAACTCTCAAATAACATTAAAACATAATAATTTTATAGTAATTGAATAATAGAGTTAAATATTGTGTTACTAAAAACAGGACATTTATATGAGGTATAGTAAACAGATTGAGCAATGTGATTTAAGATGTAAACGGTTGCATACTACAATCAGTGCAAAAAAGTTGATATAGGTTAAAAACTAAACATAAATGTAAAATTTGTGTACTCTTATGTAAAGTTTATATAATGATTAGCATATTACAACTACCTGTCTATATTTAAATACTATTTTTGTATTGTAGCATCCTCAGACGGTGGTTTGGACTCAGACAGTGGTTGGAAATTAGTGCACTACTCATGCCGCTTAATGCAATCCCACTTTGATATTTTTTTAACGATAATTATAGTTTTATTTTATTATATGTGTGCAGAATCGAGATTTAAGAAGTTTAGGATTTATATATATACAATTCTGACCTTTAGTAAGCTTTTGTTTACCCTAGGTATGCAAAAAAAAAATTTTTAATGTTAAAATTCTGGATAATTAGTTGCGACTCCTTTCTATATGCTTTTATTAAAGCAGAGTAAGAATAGTAAAGTTGGTTTGTTTGTGTAACATGCAATATTGATATTTAATACTATTTTAGTTATTTATTACAATGTTGTAAAATTTGTAACAATTTTCTAAGAAATAACCCAGATTTAAAAAAAAAATCAACGCATTTGCTGAGAAGATATTACAAGTAAAAAAAAAAATGACAATTAGCAGTTTGATTCGCAATGTTGTATATGGTAAAGGAACAACGCCGCTACCAAATGGAATTTTAGTCTCACTTTTTTTACTAATTGTAAGTTTATACCAATTGTTTCATTATAATTTAATGCAAAATACATTTGTTGCTCATTTACATATTCTTGTTTTTTTGTGTTTTTTTAAGCTAAAAAAAAAAAATTCCACCTATATACACAATCACAGTCGTGTATACTCGTCAAGTTCAGTTGACAGTATACAACATAATAATACTTTTAAACTAATTGTTTTTTTGATTAATTTTTCTAATTTAATCGTTTTATTAACTTTTTTTTGTTTTCTTTAGCTTAGCAATGGAATGATTTCTACAAATGTTTTTTCTTATTTGCCAGAGCTTGTAAAGGTAAAAAAAAATTATTCAAAACAAGAAAAAATAAATAATAAATTTACTCAGTTTATTTTTTGCTATAGTTTTTATAATATTTTTTTAACAGGATAAAAATCAAAATTTTTTGATTTTTTTTCAACAAATACCAATACAAACAAATAACTTCCCCCTTATTTATTTTTCACACCAAAATGCCATGACTGTACCATTTTTTTTTTTTTTTTTTACTAATATATATTAGAAACCTTTACTAAACTTAAGTCATTACCATTCCTATAAAACATCATCAACTTAAATTGAATTATTCCTCTATCTTTTTCTTAAAATCCACACTGTACACTAAATAGCGGGGCATAACGGAACTGTTATGCCTGAACCCTTATAAATAATAAAGCTAATTAAAAAAAAAATTTTTTTTTTATAAAATGTTTTAAATTATTGTGTTATATTATCGTATACGTTACGTTACGTATACATTACATTACGAATATATCATATACGTTAAAAGTGCCAAAATAGATAAGTAAATTTGCGAAAAACAAAGTTGTCGTATTTTCTTCGGTGATGCAACGACAAAAGATAATTGCTAGTTTGCTATATATACAAAAAGTTTATATTTTTCAGACATTATTTTATATCCTCATTTATAATCTGGTTTCAAAAAAATATCTGAAATTGAGCTTTTTGAAAATTGTAGTAAAATGACTTTTGTGGGGCATATCGGGACAATAAGTCATTCGTATAATTGACTTTATTACCTCCTTTTGTTCTTTACAATTTGATGATTTAATTTTTAACTTAAATATTGTTTTCTTTCTTTAGAAAAGCAATATAAGTAACAAATTCAAAGAACTTGTTATTTTTATAACTTAAGTTTAATTATTAATGTAAATAACGATGCTAATAAATTATAAAAGAAAGACCAATCGTCCAAAATGGGATGAAATGCAGCTTTAGCTTATTAGTTTACTCGCAACATTTTTTTCTTATATGTCCCTATATGCCCCTCTCCAACCTAATTTTAGCTAAAATAACCAAAATAATTTTAATACTCAAAATTAATTTTAAAATGATTTCTATTACCTAAAGATTTTCTGAACACAATTAAACAGCCGATTAGGGTTTTAGAAATGAATTTGAGCTCCTTTGATTTATTGAGTATAGACTGAATTTAGAAAAAATGCTGATGCATTATATAGGTTAAAAAAGTATTTGTCTGGAAGGTGTTTGTTTTTGCATTGGTATTTGTTTTAGCACATGAACCGCGTCAAGATTCTTTTCTCTTAAATTTTTTATGCAGAACGACTGAATGCATATGACGGAAAAATCAACCATCAATCAGCAAACTGTTTTGCCTTGCACGTGTTTATTCCTGGATTACAAAAAAACTATATATAAAAGTTATACTTACCACTGCTAATTATATCATTTAATCAGTCACTGATCCAGAGGCGGAATGGGGGTATGCATCATCATATCTGAAAATTCTAAAATATCTTTAAAATAGAGGATCTTTTTTTTTTAAGAGACGGAAAAGTGATACAAAATAAAATTTTTTTTCAACATCCCCTCCACAAAATATTCCTGGATTAGTCAATGTATTTAATATTGGATATTTGGAATAAAACGTTGCATTAACATAAAGTTCTATTGAGGTAAGAACCCGTAAAGTATCAACTAACAAATACTTTTCAAAAATAGTTAATGATACCGAGTTATTGATTCAGTTACGAGATGGAGTTGATCTAAAATTAATTTAAATCATACAAATAAACCTTTTGCAAACAAACCTTACAATCTTTCAGAATTAAAAAAAACAAAACAAAATAAAGGTAACTGCAGCTATCAAGCTTTTTTACAGAAACAGCTGTACCATTAAAAAACATAACTTTAAAATGGTGCTTAAAGCTTTTAAGTTTTGGGGGCAATCATCAGTCGTATATAATAAATAATATATAACTAGTTATCAAAATTTAGGTACTATTAGGGCCGTCTCGAAAAGAAGTAGGGTGTCGGGGGCGAGCAAGTTTTGAACTATAGTTGGTAAATTGCATATATTGAAGACTTTTTTTTTGCGTGTGTGTGTTTCTAGTTGGCAAAAAAATATATCCCCCCTCCCCCCAAAGAAGACCTCTTGGGAATGGCCCTAGGTACTATCAATCAGTTGTATTTTTTGTAGAAAAAATGGTGCTAATATTATGATTGACATCGAGCAAAATCTTTTGTGAAACTCAAACTCAATTCAGCTTAAAATAACTGTAGGGGAGTTGGGGGCGCATTGATCGCCGGGGCAGTATGATCTTTTAGCTTTTACTTTTACTCGTTTACTTTTGCCTTAATTTAACAGAGATTGTAATTTAATTAACCATTATACTACCCTTCATTGCTTAATTGTAATAATTTTTGATATGATCAACTTCAGCGTTAAGAAAATTGAAAAGACTATTAGATTTCCGTATGACTTTACAACCAATTTATTGTAAACTCATATGTGTTAAGTTTATTATAAATTTGTTTTTTTGAGTTGGTTACTGTATTTATAGAAGTTATTGGCATCAATATATCAACTGTACCTAATGGGGCACATTGATCGTTGACTAAGCGGGGCTCATTGATCGGAGGATCAAAGTGCCCCATATAACTTATATTATAAGACTTAAATTTTTTGTTTAAATTTTATACATTTAAACTTATGACGAATAAAAAATCTTTATATAAACTTTTAAAATTTCATTTTTAAAATGTAATAGTGTTAAAAACTAATATTAATAACATTAGTTTTTAGCTTTACATAAGTTTTACAATTAGTTTACATAATATTATTATATAAAATATGTTTTTTAAACAATCATTTTATTTTACTTTTTTTTAAATTTTCAGATCTTTAAATAGTTAGGTATAGAAAAAAAAAACAGACAGAGTTGCTTTATCATGTGATACAATGAAATCAGCTGTTAATGAAGTTTTAGAGGGCAGACCAGTGAATATTGTAGCTCAACTGCCTTTAACCGACACACTGTTGGAGAATTTTTCCAAAATCTAAAAACAGTAAGAAATCGATATAAGTTTGATCCTTATTCCATGTATAATGTTGATGAAACTGGTATAACAACAGTACGAAAGCCAGTAAAAGTGTTAGCAGGTAAAGGAAGTAAACAAGTAGGAAGAATCACATTTGCAGAACGAGAAACATTAGTAACTGTAAGTTGTTCTTCAAATGCAATTGGAAACTCTATTCCTCCACTATTTGTTTTTTCTAGGGTCAAATTTCATGATTACATGATAAAGGAAGGTCCTCCTGGATACGTGGGATTTGCAAATCCTTCTGGTTGAATTAATTCAGACATTTTTATAGAATGGATAAAACATTTTGTGAGGTATTTAAACTGTTCTCATGAATCTCCAGTTTTGTTACTTCTGGACAGCCATAAAAGTCATATTTCTGTTAGAGCTTTGGATCTTGCAATTCAACATGGAATTACAATGCTAAGTTGACCATTTATAATATTGTTCAATAGTTCGCGAACCATATACAAAAGCTTTCTCACCATCTAATATACAGAGAGGATTTCAAGTAGCTGGCATTGAGCCATTTAATCCAGAAATTTTTAAAGATGATAAATATTTACCATCATCAGTTACAGACCGTGCTGCTCCAAATGTAGTAAACACAATTCTTGTGAAACCTGAAGTGACTGTAGCACATGTTGATGGCATGGAGCCTGAAATGCCAGTACATCATGAAACAAGTTTTTTGAACAAAGTGTCACCAAGCATTGCTTCATTACTCTCACCTAAAATTTTGAAACCTTACCCGACAGCATCTGCTAGAAAAAGAAGTGTTAAAAGTAGGCAATTAAAAACAAGGATTTTGACTGATAATCTAATCAGAAATGAAATTCGTTTGTCAGAAGAAAAGAAAACCCTAAAACAAATCAACCAACAATAGAAACTCATCGCAAAAGATAAAAAAAGGGAAAAAGTTAAAAACTACTTGCTTAGGAACAAAAAACAATGTAATGTAAAAGCAGCATCACGACTTGACTTTGACAAAAGATGATAATATAAAAAAATAATCTTGTAAACTTTAGTTCTAATAAAAGTCTTGTATGAATTTTGTATTTTCTTTGTAAACTTAAAATACTGTATTCTTATAGACTTTATAAGCTTCAAGTTTTGTAAAACATAACACATATATATGTTAGTAGTATATAACGGGCTTATTTTCATAGATAGAATTGTGGTTATTCTTCTAATGTAAACTTTATACACTGGTGTGTATTAGGTTGTAATGATATGTATATATATATATCTATATATATATATATATCTATATATATATATATACTATATATATATATATATCTATATATATATATATATATATATATATATATATATATATATATATATATATATATATATATATATATATATATATATATATATATATATATTTATTGATAAATGTTGTATACTGCTGGAAATACAACTCTTGTCTGTTTAAGAGTGATCAATTTCTTTTTTTAAAAAAGATAGATCAAATTATATTAAAATAATTTAAATGAAAAAAATACAACTTTATAATGGAACTAAAAGTTTCATGTCATTCGGCAATCATCAGCCATATTATTCACACAAAAAATAAAAACCGTTATAAAAAATACAAATTTAGCGTTGCAACGGCATCTGACGTCAATTAGACGTGATCCGATATTTGCTAATCGCCGGAATCAAAGTTAGATATTAAAATTTTTTTCCTATGCCTACAAGCAGAAACCAATTCACTTTTTTTGTTAAGTAGCAGTCGACTATCAAAAGTCATAATAAAATACTTTTCATTGATGCAAAGGTTACACTTTTTTGTAGATGAGTTAAAAGATTGGCATCTTTTAATTATGTTCCACTTAATTATAGCCATGTTACCCGCGTCTTTAAGTTTCCAGATTTTCTTGGAAAGTTCCGTATTATTCCTATAACTGGTTGCATTAAATGATTTAAGATGGTTTGCAAAT